ATATTGATTTGAAAAACGGATATTGAACTAATAATGAAAAAAAAGTGCACTTTGTACAACTGTCACACTTGACATTCAGTAATGGGTACTCATAGTACAGTTACTCATAGTATACGTTTTGTTCACCGAACATCGTCCTTTCCCGGACGAAAGAACGTAACTCGATTCCAAAGTTGCGAAATTGAGTAAAAACTATTCAATTTTTTGCGAGAATGTACCCTGTAATTTTCCCCCAAAATTTGTCAGATTTTTACAAGGGATCAGAAAAAAAATCAGGGAAATTTTCATTTAGAAACACCCAAAATTCTCCTGGTTAAACTGCATTTTTGCAACTGCAAATTTGCGAGTGGAAATCTGGCAACATTGAAATGCAGTTACGTTCTTTCGTGAGGGGGAGGATATTGACAGGAGCATTATTACAACGAACACGGTGCATCGGAAATTTCGCAACTGGACATTGAAAATTGAGAATGTTCACTGCATGAGCATTGTGCCGCACACCCCTAAGCAGTATGGGCAATCTTGGAAGTCTAAGAAGCCTCCTCTATTGTTGTAGGAGCAAAAACTTCTGACGCAATCGACGCATTGCTCAGTATAGTCCCTCTTGCATTTGGGCTTGCATACTTGAGATTTGCACTTTGAGAACGGGTCTCCCATCATCATACATCCAATGATACATCTGATGCATCCAAAAGTGCTTTCATCGTCTCTGTTACCCTCATCAATATCTGAAGAGGTTTTTCTGGCGACTTCTTCTTCATCTGCGACTCCTTCAGGGCCTCCGTCTTTAAAAGCAAAGACCTGCAATAATAATCGCAGGTAATGATATTGTGGAACTACAAAATGCAGTGGCCTGGCGTACTTTGCGATAAATCGATTGTTCTGTCATTTCAACCTATGGAAAATGATCGATAAACAGGGTGTTTGCAACGAACACCTTAATAATCGATACTTTACCATGGCCCAAAATGGGAAATATCGATAATCGACTATTCACGCTTCAAACTCCAAAAAACAAACGTAACTCAATGGAGTTGTACCATTATTTCCGGCACCTCCTTCATTTAATCTCCTTCACTGATTTGATTTTTATTTACGAAAATGAATTTCAAAGTTGCCAGAAGTCCAGTCCTGTTTCAAACGGTTACACAAAGTATTTGTAGCTGTGCGAGTTTCTACTGGGATTTTTCAAGTTCTTTGACATTCCAACCAAAGACAAGAGACCCTCCATTGGGCGACAGGTGGAAGCTTCTACTTTCGGGGATTCAAAACTTCCTTATGGACATTTATAAGGGAACACCAGTCATCACCCTTTTTCCGGCTTTTAACCTACCTACTAGGGGAATGATGAGCTTCGGGTGACGTCATAAGCCAAACAAGTTTGCCAAACTTCGTTATGTTTGCGAAACAAAATATGCAACACGTTGTTGACCATCCACCTAGTCCTAGGTAGATCAACAGTTGAGTGTTGGGCTGTTGGGGTCCCGAAAGTAAAGCTTCCACCATTGCGGAGATACCAATGGAGGGTTTCTTGTCTCTGGTTCCAACGATTTTCAATCGAAAATTAGATTACTACTTATTTTATTTTATTGGAAGTTAAATTCAATTATAATTTAAAAATGAATGAATGAATGAATGAATAAATGCACTTTACCTCAATTGAATTAGTCCTTTTCAAAAAGCTTAGGCGCCAGAAATGATAATACAAGAAAAACAGTAGGAACTGTATTAAAAGAATAATTTTAAATCGTAAACTAATTAATAGTGTGATTAATTAATTAAATGCTTCGATATTTTAGGGCTCTTGAATTTAGAATAACTCGATTTGAAAAGTTTCTACTGTTTATCTCGTATGTTAAATTCACTGGAGTCTTTTTTAAAATGACAGATTCAATTATTTTTTATACCGCACTAGTCTATTGAAAGAGGTACAAGAAGTAGACCTTCCTTTTAAGATACCTCAGTCATGATTTTCCTAACAATGAGGGCAGTCTAGTCCTCCGAGGAACGCTCACACTATGTCAGCCTATCTGAGATAGTTTTGGTTGTGCTTTTGAAAATGTATTATTTTGCTCATATT